AGCCAAAAAACCTCCAGATGTAGACAATATTGATGAAGTTCCCTCAAGCAGCAAGATTGCAGAGAAATTTTCTAAGAAGGTATGCTTTTAATCCTTAACCTGCCGAATTTCTTTACTTTTCAGATCTGATGTATATTAGTAAATATATTTTATGTCTTTGTTATTGTAGGTAAATAGCTTTAATATTAGCTAATCTTTCTTGTAATTTCACTAATTTGTAAACCGACTTTAAATTAAGTTTCTTGTATCTTGTAATGGGCTTTTCCAGCTTCCATTTTTAGCTCGACTATTTGAAGAATATGAGAGCTATTGTAGTCGCCCCGGCGTCCGCGGCGGCGTCCGCTTCGGCGTCTGCGTTGGTTAAAGTTTTTTGTAAAGTCAAATATCTCAGTTATTGCTTGAGATATTCAATTGAAACTTACAATACTTATTTATAGTAACAAGGTACATCAGATTGACAAGTTGGATAACTCTGCCTACAATATTGACAGAATTATGCCCCTTTTTAACTTAGAAATTTTGGTTAAAGTTTTTTGTAAAGTCAAATATCTCAATTATTGCTTGAGATATTCAATTGAAACTTACAATACTTATTAATAGTAACAAGGTACATCAGATTGACAAGTTGGATAACTCTGCCTACAGTATTGACAGAATTATGCCCCTTTTTAACTTAGAAATTTTGGTTAAAGTTTTTTGTAAAGTCAAATATCTCAATTATTGCTTGAGATATTCAATTGAAACTTACAATACTTATTAGCTCACCTGAGCATGCTCAGGGTGAGCTTTTAGGATCGATGATTGTCCTTCGTTCGTCGTCCGTCGGTCGTCCGTTCACATTTAGTTGTTAACACTCTAGCGGTCACATTTTTGCCTCAATCATCATCAAACTTGGTCAGGATGCTTATCTAGTTGATAGCTCGGATGAGTTCGAACATGGGTCATCTCGGATGAGAAACTAGGTCACAAGAGCTAAAAATAGAAAAACCTTGTTAACACTCTAGAGGTCACATTTTTGCCTCAATCATCATCAAACTTGGTCAGGATGTTTGTCTAGGTGATAGCTCGGATGAGTTCGAACATGGGTCATCTCGGATGAAAAAGTAGGTCACCGGAGCTAAAAATAGAAAAACCTTGTTAACACTCTAGCGGTCACATTTTTGCATCAATCATCATCAAACTTGGTCAAGATGCTTGTCTAGGTGATAGCTCGGATGAGTTCGAACATGGGTCATCTCGGATGAAAAAGTAGGTCACCGGAGCTAAAAATAGAAAAAACCTTGTTAACACTCTAGTGGTCACATTTTGCATCAATCATCATCAAAACTTGATCAAGATGCTTGTCTAGGTGATAGCTCGGATGAGTTCGAACATGGGTCATCTTGGATGAAAAACTAGGTCACAGGAGCTAAAAATAGAAAAACCTTGTTAACACTCTAGTGGTCACAATTTTGACTCAATTGTCATCAAACTTGGTCAGGAAACTTGTCTAGGTCATTGCTGGGAAGAAATTGAACATGGGTCATCTCGGATGAAAAAGTAGGTCACCGGAGCTAAAAATAGAAAAATCTTGTTAACACTCTAGTGGCTACTGTTGTGATCCAAATATTCTGTTAATTGGTCTGAAAGTTTGTTTTGATGATTTCTAAGTCAAGTTCGAACATGGGTCATCTTGGATGAAAAAAACTAGGTCACACCGCCCAAATATGGAAAAACCTTGTTAACATTCTAGTGGTCACATTTTCGACTCAATTATCATCAAACTTGGTCAGGATGCTTGTATAGGTAATTGCTTGGATGAGTTTGAAATCGCATGTGGAACTAGGTCACCGGAGCTAAAAATAGAAAAATCTTGTTAACACTCTAGTTGCTACTGTTTTGATCCAAGTATCCTTGAAATTGGTCTAAAAGTTTGTTTTGATGATTTCTAGGTAAAGTTTGAATATGTGTCACCTGGGTAAAAAACTAGGTCGCACTGCTCAAATATGGATAATCCTTGTTAACACTGTAGTGGTCACATTTTTGACTCACCTGTCATGAGACTTGGTCAGAATGCTTGTCTAGGTAATTGTTTGGATGAGTTTGATAAATCAGGTGAGCGATCTAGGGCCATCATGGCCCTCTTGTTTATAGTAACAAGGTTCATCAGATTGACAAGTTGGATAATTCTGCCTACAAAATTGACAGAATTATGCCCCTTTGGAACTTAGAAATTTTGGTTAAAGTTTTTTTGTAAAGTCAAATATCTCCATTATTGCTTGAGATATTCAATTGAAATTTAAAATGCTTTTTTATAGTAACAATGTTCATCAGTTTGCAAAATTGCATAACTCTGCCTGCAATATTTGCAGAATTATTTGCCCCTTTGAAACTTAGAAATTTTGGTTAAAGGTTAAAGGTCTTCAAAGATATTTACTTGAAACTTTACACATGTACTTAGGGTCATAATTTGAGGGTCATAATTGTATGTCACTGACCAAGTTCCACAACTCTATCCTGCATTTAAGCTGATTCATATCCCCTTTTCTACTTAGTCTCTTGGTTAATGTTTACATGCAAGTTTTACATATCTCAATAACTATTAAAGATATTTATTTAAAACTTCACATATGCATTTAGGGTCATAATTGTAGGTCACTGACAAAGATCCATAATTTTATCTTGCATTTAGGCTGATTTTCTCCCCTTTCTCAACTAAAGTTTTGCTTGTAAGCTGTAATTACTGAAGAGTTTGTGCCTTTTTTTGGGACAATTTTATGCATTCATAATAATAAAGCAGTGATTTACTTGATAAAACATCTTAATAACAAGCCTTTGTACCTTTTCTGTCAATTTAATGTATTCATAGGTAATTAGTATTATTATACTCAATAAAACCCCCTTGTGACATTACCTTCCGAATAGTCAAGCCAATACTGTATAATTAGACTCTCTCTAAGACCTATAACATGAATTTATTAAAAAAAAATTAGCCCTTTTGTGAACTTAGAAAATTTAACATTATCAAAGCTCTAAATTTAACATTATCAAGGCTCTTTTACTATCAAGCACTTAGAATAGTCGAGCGTGCTGTCCTACCGACAGCTCTTGTTGGAACTGTCAGTTATCAATTTTGGATGAAAATTTAAGTTTGTTAGCTAACAATATAGAACCTGGTCACTTGCAAAGAACATTTGTAGACTACAGACCTTCGAACAAAATTTTATATGGATTTCTACAAGAACAGATGTCAATAAAATGATTGATTTGGTGTCTTTAAGTGCAGAAAGAAAGGTTATTTTCATTTATTTTGGTACCAAATTATACCGCTTTGTGCGAATTACTATCGTTGCATGTGCAATTTTCACACAATTCAAACAATGTTCTCAAAAACCACAAAACGTAGGACAATGCACTTTGTAATGTCATTTGAAGAAAATTTATAAATATTTTCTGATAATTATGAATGGTTTTGTCCAGATTAAAAGATGGACTATTTCATTCATGATATTTACTGTGGTTTTAACATATTTTGTGTAGTTTACTTTGTTGCTTGTGTTTTAGTTATTGGAAAAGATACAGGAGACCGTAGATGAAATGTGTTCCGAAGTTATAAAAGAAAAAAGTGATGCGAAATCTGTAGAATCAATGAACCAAAAACTGAAACAGGCGAGGTGGAACTACTTTGCCGAGTTGAATGAGCTGAAACATAACTTCCGTAAGATCGTTTAATCATTGTTTTTGCTGAATTTGTTAAATGGACTTTCCCTCCTTTTAATTTGGGACTGTCCATTGTTGCTTGAAGGTGTTTCAGTATTTAAACTGAACCAAGTATTGAGCAGACGGCAGTAAAAATATAACCTGGATATTGTCACCTTAGTGCAGACTAGGTTAACTCCTGGAGTTAACCTGTTGCTGCACTGAGATGCAAAATAACTTGTACTACTGGCATAATGATGCCCTTTTTAGCATACATATAATTTGTTATCATCGAATGACAACGTTTGATAATCTCAAGTTGGAGTATGGATACAATTTAAAAACAATTTCTTTCTGTGACTTGTCTGAAGGGAGATGTGAGTTCTCTCCCTTATATAGCGTAAATCCTGAATTTAATTTTCATTGGTCATTGAGAAAATAATAACATGAAAACATACTTTATTATGCTCCCCGAAAAATTTCGGGGGAGCATATAGTCGTCGGGTTGTCCGTCGGTCCGTACGTACGTCCCGAATTCGTGTCCGGCCCATAACTTTGTTATTTGAAGTCGGATTTTAAAACTATTTCACAGAAATGATCACCATATTGAGACGACGTGTCGCGAGCAACATTTGGGTCGCTACCTTGAAGGTCAAGGTCACAGCATGACCTTGCAGCAAAATCGTGTCCGGTCCATAACTTCATTATCTGAAGTCGGATTTTAAAAATATTTCACAGAAATGATCACCATATTAAGACGACGTGTCGCGCGTAACATTTGGGTCGCTACCTTGAATGTCAAGGTCACAGCATGAACTTGCAGCAAAATCGTGTCCGACCCATTACTTTGTTATTTGAAGTCAGATTTTAAAACTATTTCACAGAAATGATCACCATATTGAGACGACGTGTCGCGCGCAACATTTGGGTCGCTACCTTGAAGGTCAAGGTCACAGCATGACCTTGCAGCAAAATCGTGTCCGGTCCATAACTTCATTATCTGAAGTCGGATTTTAAAAATATTTCACAGAAATGATCACCATATTGAGACGACTTGTCACGCGCAACATTTGGGTCTTTACCTTGAAGGTCAAGGTCACAGCATGACCTTGCAGCAAAATCGTGTCCGGTCCATAACTTCATTATTTGAAGTCTGATTTTAGAAATATTTCACAGAAATGATCACCATATTGAGACGACGTGTCACGCGTAACATTTGGGTCGCTACCTTGAAGGTCAAGGTCACAGCATGACCTTGCAGCAAAATTGTGTCCGGCACATAACTTCATTATTTGAAGTCGGATTTTACAACTATTTCACAGAAATGATCACCACAATGAGACATTGTGTCGCGCGCAACATTTGGGTCGCTACCTTGAAGGTCTAGGTCACGGCATTACCTTGCAGCAAAATCAAGTCCGGCCCATAACTTCGTTACTGGATGTCGGATTTAACAACTATTTCACAGAGATGATCACCATATTGAATTGACGTGTCGCATGCAACATTTGGGTCGCTACCTTGAAGCAAAATCATGTCCGGCACATAACTTCGTTATTTGAAGTCGGATTTTACAACTATTTCACAAAAATGATCACCATATTGGGCCAATGTGTCGTGCACAATATTTGGGTTGTTTTTACACTTTGAACTTTGTCTTTTGACATAACTCTGACACAACAATAGGTATACCTTCCTGTGTCCAAAACCTATTCGGGGAGCATCACCCGGTTCAACCGGCTCTTGTTTTAGAATGTTACATTTGTGATGTCTAACACTTGCATCTTTAACACCATGCTGACAGTTTATATCACAAAATGCTTCTATATGTACTTGCTATCTAAGTTGATATATATTGTTGATGTTAGTTTTGATATACACTGCAACCACATTATAACGCTCGGTTAAATATCACATTATAACAAAGTTGTGATATATAACGCTCATTGCGAAATTACCGCATTAACCCACCCACATACATGTAACGCTAATGATTTTTACTTACCGTTAATGAATTTTGATAATTTTTTTTAAACAATGTAATAGGTAAACATGTATTATTTTGTCAAATATGACTAATTATATTTAAAAAAACAAAACAAAAAAAAAACAAAAAAAACAACAACCAGAAAACTTTTGAAAGAAAAACATAAATCACAATTGTAATAAAAGTAAGCCATTGATCTCCTGTCTTTGTAACTTTGAAGCCAAGGCCTATAAGGGTTATACTGAAGGTAGCTTTATAATAGGGCTAGCAGTGTTTGTATTGATACAAAATTTTCCATCAATATCAGCCCTACCACTTGTAAGAGTTAAACAGTGTTCGCGTTTACTGAGTAAACATATCAATTTACTCTCTAAAATTGCCAGGGAGGAAAGAAAAAAAGGGCTGTTGAGTCCCTGGGATGAAACACTTTTTCCCCGATAATTGGTCAATTCTCTCTTAAGTTTTTTTGCTCTGCTTGAAAATGATTTTCTATTCACTTTAAATAAATTGTATTATAAGAACTTGACTTTCACCTCATTTTCATTTGTTCCTTTCTCATTAGCAATGCAGATTTATATCCCAAACGTAGACTAGGAGCAAGTGCTCGGCCTCGTTTTGGGCCAACCTATCAATGATATCCGCGAACATCAACAGTCACAAATTTGATTGTATTATGAAGTTATGCAAACATTGACATTTTTGTAATTGAGGACTCGTTCCATTTGAATTGGGACGTAACAGATCTATTAGCACTGAGTCCCAGGTACTCAGTAAAGTTAGGGAAAATCGCTAACACTGAGTTAAAGCATGGAAATACCGCCTCCGTGGTCGAGTGGTTAGAGTTGATGACTTCTAATCCAGTTACCTCTCTGGCGTGGGTTCGATCCCAGGGAGATGCTTTGGTAGTTTAGCGCGGAGGAAGGTAGTCAAGTACTGGTGTAACTCTCCAGGAACGATGGTTAGGAAACTACCCGCCTATATGACTGAAATACTGTTGGAAAAAGGCGTAAAATGACACAAACAAACAAACAAAGCATGGAAGGAGTTTAATGATCATGTTTTTACAATTTTCTTGACTGGTTCCTTGTATTTTTCAGAGCTTACAATGTTTGAGATGAAGTCAGGCTGGGATTCAGAGAAAGATCAGATTGTTAAAGCTCTAACTACAAAACTTCAGACAGAGAAAGAACTTGCCATTAAGGAAGCAAAGAAAAAACAATGGGTAAATTGTTCATATTCATGTGCATATATGAGTGGGTATTTGTGAACAGGTACAAAAATTCTGGTGAATGAGTGCATTTTGGTTAAATGTCAAATTATTTAGGGTGAATTTAGTGTTATACCATAGGTCCTGTCACAGGGTTGTCATTAACATTTTTTGCAGAAGGTTTGTTTTGAACTTGAGGCGGTCATTTCTGTCTTTATCATGCATAACAAAGAGTGTTTTCTTAATTTTGAGGCGGCCCATAATGCATTTGAGACAGGCATTTTGGCCTCCTGCCACCTCTTAATGACAACCCTGCGGTCCAATTAGTCAAAAGGAGTGTGCTTTGGGCTATTCACAAAGTACTATGATTTGGCCTTGTTTTCAAAACAATCAGATAAATGCATTTGTTTTGGTAAATTGTCATAAAAATTAACTTCAGTATATGATAATTATAAACGGGTATAGCTTTCGGTATATAATGGTTGTGTACAGTTATAGCTGTTTACAGTGACAGCTCCCACATCCAAGAAGTCAATGTTTCTACTTTTGCGTAGGTGACTGAAGCAATGCTTAGAGGTTTACTTAAGGTCTTCACCAGTAAAGATTGAAATCAGTTTATGACATTAACAGTTTTTGTGTGAGCTAAAAATCAACTATAAGGCAATATAAACTTTACTTAGCTTGAGTTTTTAGAAATTTTTTTTATGCCATTTAGAAAGCCTTTTGTTCATAAATTGTGATTAAAATTTGTGAATACAGGATTTTTTTTTCAGGATTTGTAAAATATTGAACTTTTTCCCATTATGTATGATATGAACTAGGATATTTAATGATATTACAGTGTGCTCAATGTGGAAAAGAGGCTATATTTTACTGCTGTTGGAATACTAGTTACTGTGATTACCCGTGCCAACAAAACCACTGGCCTCAACACATGCATACGTGTCTACAAACAAATAAAGATAAAACATCAGCTGTGAACACAACTAGTTCAGTAAATGCAGGTAATGATAAAACGTTTTATGATTGTGACTTATTTATAGCACCTGTAAATTAATCTATTTTCTTCTGAACGATGCTTCATATCTGTGTAATGACCTGCCAACATTTTCTGACTAGCTAAATGATGCTTTTTATGCCCCCACAATGTGGGAGCATATAGCGTTGCACTTGTCCGTCCGTCCGTCAGTCCGTCCCGAAATCTTGTGAACCCAACTCCTCTTAAACCGGATGGCAGATTTTGCTTAAACTTACAGGGATGAACAACCTTAATGTGTAGATGGTAGTAAAGGAAGGAATTTTCGCTGCGACTAAATTTAACAGAATTATGGCCCTTTGTTGATTTTTTCACTAGATACTATGTAGAAATTTTGTGAACGCAACTCCTCTTAAACCGGATGGCAGATTTTGCTTAAACTTACAGAGATGAACAACCTTAATGTGTAGATGGTAGTAAAGGAAAGAATTTTTGCTGCAACCAAATTTAACAGAATTATGGCCCTTTGTTGATTTTTTCACTATATACTATGTAGAAATTTTGTGAATGCAACTCCTCTTAAACTGGATGGCAGATTTTGCTTAAACTTACAGGGATGAACAACCTTCAGGTGTAGATGGTAGTAAAGGAAGGAATTTTCGCTGCGACCAAATTTTACAGAATTATGGCCCTTTGTTGATTTTTTCACTATATACTATGTAGAAATTTTGTGAATGCAACTCCTCTTAAACCGGATGGCAGATTTTGCTTAAACTTCCAGGGATGAACAACCTTAATGTGTAGATGGCAGTAAAGAAAGGAATTTTTGCTGCAACCAAATTTAAGAGAATTATGGCCCTTTGTTGATTTTTTCATTATATACTATGTAGAAATTTTGTGAATTAGGCCCTTTGTCGATTTTTAGTTTTCAACTTGTGGTACATGTAGTCCAAAAAATATTTGACCTAGAGTCATAAGATTGACAGAACAGTGGCGTGTGGGGGCATCCGTGTCCTATGGACACATTTCTAGTTTATTAAGATAATTGAAGCAATTTTAGGATGACTGCTTTTGGATTGAGATATCATGAGCTTGAATCTTGCATACGGCTAGCTTCCTTGCTTAATTTCATCTGTATGTTAGTGTAGAGGCAGCCTTAACTAGATCTAGTCCTTTTGTCTCCAAAGGGTGATGGGTTGATATAGGTACAAGTATTGAGGCCCAGAACTAAGGCTTGCCTCATTACATCAATGTGTAAATGCAGAGGGGATGTGAAATTTTATATTTTTAACTGTTTTCTGAGGGAAGGCATTAATGGTTAACACAAAGAAAAGCTTCAATCTGGACTTGAATCAAAATAAATCATAGATATGAAAATATTTTAAGCTCTAATTTTTGGAGCTTTTGTCATAACTTAGTGATTGCAGCTTTTTTTTTGTTTATTGTCATAAAAATCTGTACTAACAATATTAATGCAATGATACTTAATATGTGGTTTCATTTTAATGATTTCTACCTGTCACGTCAAGGTCACTGGCACCTGTATAAACAAAACATAAAATTAGGCCTTTAAATCAAAGTGCAGTTTACTATCCAGCACTGAGACAAGTGCAACACACTGCATCTCCAAAAGCTTTTGTTTATTATTTTGATAATTTATTGGTAGAATGTACTTTGCACACAAGTAAAAATTATATATTTAACAGGTCAAAAGGGTCAAGGTTCAAATGTTACTCCATCATCAGTCAGTGCTCCTGTGTCAGCAGCAACAAATGTAGGGCCTCTTACCTCAGTCAGTGCTGCTAATCCACCTGCAGTAAGTACTAGTACTTCAGCAAAGTTCTTTTACCCCATATTACAATTATTTCTTTCTATTATTTTTATTATGATAATGCATTGAGGGTTATTGTGACAATCACACAACTTTAATATTTACTCATTTTGCTTGAAATGCTTTTGAGATAGTTGCACACTTTGAATTTTCAGTATGTTCGGCCATAACATCTTGTATGCCATTAATTAGTTAACTTTCTGACTTAATTCTATTGTACTGGTGAATAAAATCTGTCTTAAACAAATGTGATTACTTGCAATCTATTCCTCATTTGAACATCATTTTACAACAAGGGTTTACTTGTATACATTATGCAATTCTGTTGTAATGATGCAATATTATTTATATTTTATATCTTAAACTGGCACACCTTCAGATAAGTAAAAGTAAAACTCAAAACTTAAAGAGAAATATGTCTAAAGTTTAAGAGGGTGTATGACTATTCACAATTAAGGTGTAACATTGAATATTAATTTTTTTTTGTGTGCAAAACTTGACCAATCTTTATTCTTCTTATAACCAAAATTTTACTCTCTTTTTAAACAGAGAAAGAGAAATTCATGCATATTTTAACGAGTTTAAAAGCAGTAGCAAGCTTATTAAGCAATGTAAAAATACCTAATTTGTATGCTTAACAACATTTTTACTCATTGTAACATTTTTTTGAGATTTCATAAATTGTTTTCAAAAATCTGGAGCAGTGCTGCTTTAAGAAATATTTCATGTCTTAAACCCTAATCCTGCCTAAATTTATGAAAATGGACTTGTCCAGCTTCCATTTTTGGAACTTATCCATTATCAATTTAGGGGATTTCATTTTGAAAGTTTAAAGTTGTTCAGCTGACAGTATAGAAAATGTTCAGATTTATGGACGTTATTGGCAGGCCAGGTCTATATACTGGTGGTAAAAGGCAACTCATTTTTGGTGTTCCAGTATGTTAAGGTTGAATATATTGTTCATTAAGGATAATTTAGACTGTGACTACATGTATAAAGCCAGACCAACCTTGAGTTCTGTGCAGTCCAGACTAGGCTAGACCTTATACTGTTGGTTGATACAAGTATTATGATACCTATATCTTTCCTTTGTAACAATCTTTGTTTATGACTGTTTCAAAGAAGTGAATCATACAAAATGAGCTTAAATATGGGATAAATGTTTTTTTCTAAAATCTTTGCATGTGGAGTTCTTGTATCTATAATGGATTGTTGCATGAGAACTTTACTAGTCTTGTATTGTATTTGGGAACTTTTCCTCAATGCTTGTAGGAAACCAGATCATTTGAGACGACTTCAGGATAATTCTTACGATGGCGTTACAGCGTGAGAAGAAAAGCGGGGTGAAGGTTCGGCCAGGGGTTAGTCCGAAGTTTAACCCACCAATGTCGTCTCGCTCATGCAAAACATAAGACAGGTCCGTATAGCATAGTGTGTAATAGCTGTAAAAGTCGTCATATAGCTTAATTAGTTATGATTTTTTACTGTAAACATACCAAATGTCAAAAAAAGGTGACATGGCTCTTTGGTTAAGGTGCATGCATCTCAACCTAGGACAGTTGTGGTGGATTCAAACCCTACTTTAGTTTCAAAAATGTTTCCGCTTACCGGTATATCACTAATACTGGTTATTTCCAAGAGGTGGACTTGATAGAGCTTAATTAATGTTAGAAAAAAAATGTCCAACCATTGTCCTGCAACAAGTTTTTGCCACCTGTATAGGGATAGCATCAGTGCGTACATCAGTGCAGTCTTACCAGGCTCTAAAAAACTGTTGACTGTTGGTTGTTTTATGCTTGACTATTAAAAAAATAGGGGAGAGCTTTTTGTACTCTACACACAGCGTTGGCATCACAGTTTGGTTAAGTTTTTGGATACAAAATTTACTGAAAGTAATGGGTTGAAATGTCATATAGTTGTTCCGCTGTGATTATCTAACATGATGGGCAAAGGTACCATAAAATTGAGTTATCCTTTTTACAGAGTTATGCCCCTTGCTTTAATCTTGAGCACTGAGAATTGTCAAGGATGCTGTCTTTGGGACATTTCTTGATTTTTTATACCCCCAAAAACGAAGTTTGGGGGGGTATATAGGAGTCACTCGGTGGTCCGGTCGGTCGGTCGGTCGGTTGGTCGGTCGGGCCGGTCGGTCGGTCGGTCGGTCCAGACGTCCGTTGCATTTTCCTTGTCCGGAGCATAACTTGAAAACTAATAGTTGGAATTCAATA